TTTTGCTTCTTTGTGGGCAGTGGCTTTGCTGTATACTTGCAGGTGGGAATGTCTGCCCTGCCTATAGGTGTATGCCACTCTTGAATGGATTTTTAACTTCTGCAAATCTCTCAACTTCAGGTTAGATGGGTGGCCCTTACAAGCTTGAATGTAAGGTGATGTTTGTTGATAGCACCTGGGAATGCTGCGGTTTCCTGCTGGACCCCTGCACGATGGACTGCCTTGAATTGTGGCAGCTCTCTTGCCTCTGCACAAGGCTGTGGTTTCTGCTGCCCAGTTAATTCTTGCAAGAGTTTGAAACACAATTCCCTGTGTAAAAACTGATAGAACACCACTGTTTATTGTGGTATAGTGCCACATCCTGAAACAGTTGGGTCGATGCTTAGGAATTGCGTAATTAGCTGGTAGAGTGAGGGCTGCCTGGTAGAGATAGAGGTTTTGGGTTTTGATGTGGGGTTTTTGTGTTTTTGTATAATGCAAAAATGACTCAAGGAGCAAGAGTTGAGAGTCATTTGATGCACATATACATGGAAGCAGCTTCTTAAGGGCAATAGGGAATAACTGCAAAGCAAAATTAGTCAAACTTAAATGTTACCAGTGTCAAAATACTTATTAGGGAAAACTTAAACCAGTAAAATAAGTCATTAGGTAAATACTAGCATAGGATCAGTGATTTTAAGAGACCTTTTATAGTGTGCACCAAATGCGGATTGTGGTCCTATGTTCACATTTTTCTCGTGTAAATATTTTTTTAATATGTCACCAGAAGTATGGAAAAAGTGTAAATGGAAGGTTATTGGCCTCTGCGCAACAGAAGGCTGTGGAATTTTCTGGAATGATTTTTTTTTTACAAAGCTGTAAATTAATATTTGTGTTGCTACTTCTGTAACATAGCATAAAATAAGTTACCTATGCCAGTGTAAAAATGCCTGAGTCTCAAAGTTAATAAGTCTACATGCTTACTTTAAGAAAAAGCAAACAAAGAATGAGACAGAAATAAATTAACTTGGCTTAGAGTCAAAGCATTGTTAAGGTATGTGGCAAGACAGCAGACACAAAATTGGAGGGAGAAGAAAGTAAAGAATATAATTAAAATTATATTTTCTCTTTCCAGTTACCTGTCTTCTTTTGTTATTCATATACACTTGTTGAAATTGCATGTAAATGATTGATTGACTCAGCGAACTCATTGTAATAAATTGTTTGATGTGCTATCTTGGAAAAAAATCTTTTGAAATTCTGTCTCTTTTCTTTGTCTGCTGACCTTGTGGCTTTTAATATCTTGTTTCCCATCTGTCTAATTTCATCATAATCTGAGCATAACTTTTCAGACCTTAATGCAGCTCTCTTTTTGTTCTGATTTAAGTAATTCTGTTACACAAATATGGGATTTGGCCATCAACAGTAACATTAGAAAGGAATGTTGAAATACGTGTTCCCTTTACTGATGTGAAATAAAGAAACGCTTATCTGTAGATACTTGATAATGCATATTTACAGTGTATAGATCTGTCTCTACAAGCAAAGGAATACAGATATGCCTGTATCATTTAATTATATCTGCTTTAATGTTGTAAGTTCAAAGGTTACTTTTGAGGATTATTTCTTAATTAAAGGAGAAAAGAAATGGGTCTATAAGGTTTCAGGAAAGCAGTTTTAAGTATAGATTTTAAAAATACTTAGCTGAATATGTCATGCAGATGTACCCAAACTCCAGTTTGAGAGATTGATTGTATTATAGGTGTTTCTTCTGCAAGAAGTGTCTCTATCAGTGAGGTCCTGAGTCTTGAATTACAGGGGAGTTTGGAGAAATAGACTTATATTGTTACAAACATTTTTTTTCTAAAGGATATAATGTCTATAAAAATGTTCATTTGGGATATTTTTTAATGCTTGTACTTCAGCAGTTTGTTTAACAACTGTAAGATATAGGTAGCTAATTCTTCATGTTCTTTATTCATTACATAAATTGTAAATGCTGAAAAGTCTTTTTGGACTGTGCCTTTTTAGTGGGACTAAATCTTTAGAAAGACCAAAGACAATGAAGTCAGTCAGGAAGATAGGAAAGGGAAAGGCATGGTAGGGGAAAGTTTCACGGGACAGTAGAAATAGAATAGTCTTTAAGTTTGCTGAACGTGTCAGAAAGTTATGAATGTGGCAAAAGGCCACAGAGTTCACTCAACGGTGTATTTTCACATAAAACACAAAACATTGATATATTTATTTTGGTCTATATAAGCTTATTTGGTGGTGATGATACTACAGCTACTGCTAATTAATTTTGTCTGTCTAATTTGACTCTGACTCAAATTAGAGAAGGAAGTCAGAGTAATCCAAAAGCCTTTTTAATCATGATTTATTGATAAAACAAAAATAAGCAAACCAGTTTTATAGGCTACATAGGCATATGCATTCAAGCAAGTGATCAGTACATTGACTGCAATGGAATTATTCTTCATACTAAGTACCAAGGTGAACTGAGACCTTGATATGGTCCGAGCAACTGTTAGTTCCAACATCGCCATCTTTACTATGCCCTGACTTCCCTGGCATTTTTGGTCTCTTGCTACTGAAATAAGTGTGAAGCAGATGCTTTAGTGGTCAAATGTCAATATCTAGTGAGCATTATGTTTTAATCCCTTTTTTTATTAATGTACTGTGAACAAATGCTTTAAAGAAATCTAATGTGTGTTTTTTTCCATTACTGAAAATAGTACATTCATCTCATCAAAGAAGCTGAAGCAATTTGCAACACTGTGTTAAGAAAGTATATTTTTAGGGATAAAAGTCTTTTTGTGAAGAATTCTGTTTATGAAACTCCAATCCCTAATTCTATAGTAAATGTGTGTTTTTTTCCATTACTGAAAATAGTACATTCATCTCATCAAAGAAGCTGAAGCAATTTGCAACACTGTGTTAAGAAAGTATATTTTTAGGGATAAAAGTCTTTTTGTGAAGAAACTCCAATCCCTAATTCTATAGTATAGAATGTAGAAACAAATGGATAGCATGAAATCTTGGCTCAATTACATTTAATATCAATATTTTGGGATTCTGTTTCACTAGGTTTTAATTCTCTATGTCCTTCCTGGAGTTAAGTTTGATATAACATTTCCTATAAGGAAAACATGGAAAGTTAAATGCATATTCTTGGTATTTAGAAGTAAAAGCTGGTTGTAATGGATTCATCTCACCTGTCAGTGAAACTTGTGTGTAATGTGTCAGCTGTGTAGTGTTGCATGCAAATACAGAAGAATATTTAATGAATAATTAGATAATTTCATCATCACTGCAGAGCCATTTTTCTGTGGTAGAGAAAGTATCACTGTGGAGTATGACCCCAAAGTGAAAAATGGCAGGAAGGATGGGTCAAGGCTATGTGTTACTAATAAATGACACACTCTTGCAACTCATTAATTCTCTCTATAGTCATGGTGTTTCATTCTATGTTGCTGAGAAAAGTTGCAGACTGGGGAAAAAATTCTTTCTAGATACTTCCAGTTCCATTTCCTTAACTGCTGAGATTTTCCTGAGGACCAAAGAACAGACATGGTTCAACATTTTAGCCAAATGAAGTAACACTGGGCTATAAACAGCTGGACCTGAAATCCAGCTACAAAATGTTTTCCAAAAGTACTCAGGAATAAAGAATTGTATTTCTAGTTATTATATAGAAATATAATTTTTGTCTGTAGTTAGACACTTATTTGCTATGTATTTTCTTAGTTTTTCTGCTGTACTAAATTGCTGCATGCATGAATTACAGTTAAATATTTTCTTTAAACGTGACAGTGACACATTCACATTTTCTTTTCAGAATATATGGAGAAAGAGCAAGGAAATGAAATGGCTTTTGATTCCTGGGAATTCTGATATAATTTACATATTGGAATATGAATGGTGGACTCTGAATTAATTATGTGTTTTGTTGTAGACTAGACTGATTAGTAGGCACAAAATATTATAAACAGTTTGATCATCGAAGCAAATTTCTTTCATCTAATGGGAGAAATATGGAGAAAATAATGCTTTTGGAAAAAATTGTTCACATGGTCTACTGTTGAGGCAAGAACTTGCACTAACTGGTGCAGTTAGTTAACAGAATAAAACAAATGCACTGTGTCTGATGAATGAGTGATAACCTTCCATGGTAACTGTAATGCTTTATTGTGTTACTTGGCTTCAGATATCGTCAAACACTGTATTCCCTCCAAGAATAAAGAATAAAGAATAAAGAATCTGCCATAGATTATAAAAGAACCACTGATTTTCATGCATTACTGCATCACAAATTTTAATTTCTTTTTCCTAAGATATAATCATACTTACAATATATTTATTTATATTCTCACATTCTTGTTCCTAAGTTAGTGTGCTATATTTTCTTCAAAGTTAATACTTTTCCAACTGTGTCTGACTAATAATTTCCTAAATCTCTCCTTATCTTCTAATGACAGATGATTTATCAAGGCCCATGACTTAATTAATATTACAGAACATGTGGGGAGCTGAAGAATTCAGAAATATTTTCAATAGCTTGGACATGTAAAATGAGAAGCATAGGAGAAAATGAAAAGATAATCTTGTAACTGAGGAAAAAGTCTTTGTGATTTAAGCATGGGATTGAGGTTCAGGAAATGGTGAGTTCTATCCCACAAATCTGTCATGCTTCCCACTACAGACAAGACACTGCTGCAGCTGACTATTCTGCAAAATATTTAACACTCTCTTATCTCTCAGGGTTGTTTAATGCTACATATGTCCAGCATTACTGGTGTTATGGGGAACATATTAATTTTTGAGTTTATGGAGTTGTTTTTAAACAAGCACTGTAGCCTGAGGTTTTCTTGCAGTAAAAAAGTTTGCAAAATATGTAATGTCTAAAGGATACTTTTGTGACATAAATATGTTAACTTATGTATCTAAAGCACAGAGAAAGAAATGAGGTTGTCAATGAAGTTTCATCTTTCCTGAATACTACACTTTTTTTCTGTTTTCAGGTTGCATGTCTCACTCATGTAGCAGCTAATTACCTTAATTGCAAAATTGAAGCAAAACGCTGGGGTACTGCTCATGGGAGTATTGTTCCATATCAGGTAAGCAGAAAGCATTAGGGTCTTTTCCCTTGGAATTCATTATTTTGTGTATTTTGAGATCGAGAATTGACTTTTCCCATGACCTGTAGTCTGTAATGTGTCTGTGTAGAGGCATGACAAGGTTCTGTTGTTCATTGTTGTTTCTGCATTTTGCATATTTCTTCATCAGCAGTAGATTAGTAACAGAACACTGAAATAGATCAAAGGTGTTTGCTGAAACTGGATGACTTTAAAGCTAGCATGGTGACTTGATTGGTTTTCAGCTAACACAGGAACCTTTTTTTTTTAAGGGTTACCTGACTTCCATTCCATACCAGTTATAAACTGAGATCTTTCAATTTTTCCCCTCTGAATGTTGGTGTTTTTATCTTCTGAGCCTACAAGAGCAATCTAAATGACAAAGATAATCTGGCAGTGCTACATATTTGTAATTTCCTATTGAATTTGCTACAAATCACTGCCTCAGTGAGACAACAGGTTGATAAAAGGAATTAAACAGAACTCAGATTTCCTGAGCAGAATTCATACTCTGCTACATCTAATGAAGGGCTGACATTCCTTAAAATAACATGACCTTCATCATATAAACAAACACAGGAAAAAAAAATCTCACTGCAAGTTTTATCTTACTTTTGACCAGTACGGTAATCTCTTCTAGTAAACAAAAAATTTTGTTCTTTTCTAGCTCTTCATTTTGTGTTCTTAGATGGAGGTCATGTCTTACAGAAAATTGAGCATATATTTAATTAAGAAAAATCTATTCTTTATTTAATTTTTTTTGCATTTCTTATCAAGTGGTCATGTTTGTATCTAGCTAGGCAAAGCCTGTATTTCTTAATTTATGTCCAGAGTCCTTTAAATCTTGAGAGGGGCAGTTTTCAGCATTTGCTTGGGAAAACTACACCTAAACACTGCTGAGTATCTTTACCCTCTCCTTTCTTTGTAGAGGAGGTGAGGGAAATTTAGTGTGTAGTCTTCCCAGTGGTGAAGATCATGGTGATCATAATTGAAAGATTAGCTCCTTGTGGCCATGAAATCTGATGCAAAAATTTTCTACTATTATGCAGAACTCTTTCACTAGCTAGTAACAGCCAGACCTCCTCAGGTCTAAAACCAAAATGAGCTGGTTTTGGAAGGACTAAGTCTACTTCATCTACGAGACTTTTTCCAATACTTGTACTACTGCACAATCAACTATCTTGTTATGCATTAGGTACAACAAATGGCAAATTGTCTCAGACCAATGGGGAGGTGGTGTGGCTCTTTCTGCAAGAATTAGTTTAGTCCTGCAGTATTCTTGTCTCCAGTGCTGCTGGTGTAGCAGTATGGATGTGTTTTCTAGAGCCAGCTCTTATGACCCAGTGTAACCAAGTATTTACACTCTGCTGTGTTTCTGTGATGTGACCTTTTGGTGCAAGCCTTTTGAACTTTAGTATGTTGAAAGTACAAAACAGATCTGAAGTATCTGAAGTTTGTATAAGCAAAGCCAAAAACCTGACTAAACAAAGTATTTTATCTTCATCATGTGGCATTTGGGTGAATAACTGAAACTTGTGTTCTTTTATGTCCTTTTGGCCTTTGTTTTTCCCCAGTCAAAATGAAAAACATACATTGAGTATGCTTTGTTTCTTTTTTTGTAGCCAGCTCTTTAGGTCTTGGAGATTGTTTTAGCTGTTTTTTGATGTAATCTTGATTAGTCATTGTGAAATAAAAATTAAAAAAAAAATCCTAATAAAATTATGGTTCCTATGTTTCTGTGTGCTATTTCTGTAATAGGTATTAGAAATATTACCTCAATATTATAAATAAATTTAATCTAATTTTCTTGTTCATAAACCAATAATTAGGGTGGATTTTTTATGGATGGAGTTGTGTGTGTATGTGCCTATGGCCTAACATTGCATCAGCTACCATCATTGCAATTATGATTGTAACCATAAGAATATTTTGGGTTTCAGAGGTTTTTTTTCCCTTTACTAACCTAAGCTATACTTAGATTGCAAAGTTCTTAACAAACTTGACTTAACCCTCATGTTGCTATTGTACTAGTTTTACAGTTTCTCATACAGCTCATTTGTAATATTGCAATTTGTAATATAGAATTGATCTCTGATACCTGACTTTCAGTCCTAATTCTACTTACTGAATATGCTTACTAAGCTAATGACTTACACTAATTTTTAAAATTTTTTTTTCAAGATATTTTATGGAAGTGAACTACAATTTGTTCAAATAATGAAAGACACATTTCAGAAAATTGAATTTCTATATATTTCAGAACAATTAGGTAGTGGTGAACTGTTGGTTGTTTTTTTCACATGTCCTTTATTTTGCTTTCTCTTGCTGTATTTTGAGTATTTTTACACGTAATAAATTATGAAGTGATACAGAGCATGCAGTCCTGTAAAAAGTGTCAGGTTATTTTAAATCATGGAGGATTGGGGAAGCAAACATGAGATCATCTTATAGATATTAAAAAGGCAAAATCAAAATAACTTACATAATTTTTCAGTGTGAGAGATGTCTGATCAGAGTTACACGAAAGCACTGACCAAAAAATAAAAAACCCAGTTAAAAGCATCCTAAAAATGTACACAAAAAGTGGGTTTTTTTGCTATAATTGTTACAATAAGTGTTCTGTGGTAGCTTTTATTTTATTGAGCTTCACCCAAATAAATTTGTTCAAAATATCTTTGCAAGTGGATCTATTTTTTTTCTATTTACGAAGTCAAATTTACCTTTGACTGTATCTCTGTTTTTTCACTGAATTTCGCTATTGCTTCTTGACTGAAACACTTAGCAGCATAATTTGTCCCTGAATGTGTTCTCTAGAGTGACCTTCATTACTTTTCTTTGTATTTAAATATGTAAAAATTAAGTATTACTGGGAAGATGGGTTTTCTCCCTCCCTGAAACTATTACCGTCTTTGGAAATCTGTTTCTGGTCTGGTCTGAGATGTTAAGTTTGGTGTGCAAGGGCTTTCATATTTTTAAGGTTTTTCTCATTCATTGACAATGTGCTGACTTTGTGACATGATCATTTGAAATGTCTGAGTTTTCAGTTCTCTGTGTTCAATACCAGAAGCCAAATAAAATGATGTGAATGTCTTTTGAGTATGTAATGTCTCCCAGGGTTCCTGTAAAACTAACTGTAAAGGTTTACCATAGATTTTCAATGGAGGTGAAATTTGCAATGTGCCACAAAGATGAAGTACTCTAGATTCTTATCAGCCAAAATCAGAAATAGTTTTTTGAGTCCTGAAACCTTAATGAGAGATTACCTACTTTGAGGATATCTGCTGTTTATCAGAGCAATGTAGCTTCAGTAAGTCACTCCAGTGATAATTAATGTAATCAGATCCCAATTTGCTTGGTTTCAAGTGTTAAAACACAAACCTTAAGTTCTGGGCTGTATCTTAAATATAATTAGTACAATTTTTAAAAAACCAATTTCTATAATGAGACACCATGTTTATCAACAGCTGCTCCATGATTATCCAGAGGAAATCAAAGCTTAAAAGCATCCGGTTTACATAATTGTGCTGAAAAGTAAAGTTCTTACTGTCTTTCTCTTGGGGTGATAAGGTCTTCCCTCATTCTAGTGGTTTCAGTAATGTAGCTCTCTTGCCTGTACCATGCATGAGATCTGGACATTCACGTTTTCATCTTTCAATTGGCCCACTTAGAATTCGTTCTCCTGAGAAAATCTATCTAACTGGAATGTTTGCAAGTTGTTTCATGTGGCAGCTTGTCACCCTGCCATCAGACACCCTGGGCAACTGGGCAGAGGCAAACTTTCAGCAAATGTATAGAGCTGTTTCCTCTCAGGCCATAATGATGGAAGTGTGTTTAGAAAACTGAGAAATCAAGTTCTTGCAGATATCTAATGAATATGATTTTATTTTTCTTCCAGATTTTAAGACTCACAGGGTTTTCTCAAGTGCAGTTAATTTTATTTTCAGAATGTGCAAAGGGCAGGGCACTGCCATTCTAAATGGAAGTTAAAAAGATGAGACAGTAAAGAAATTATTTTAACCAATTACCTTTTCTGTTGACTGACCTATGCATTTTAATAACTCATCAGACCAAACACCAATGGTTTGTTTTTAAAATTTGACTTAGATTCTTTAAGCATCAGCTTCTGCTTGTGCTAGGCATAAAATTTCCTTCATATAAAGAAATTATCTCGGTGTCAAAGTCAGTTAAATATATTATGAAAATCAAAGTATAAGCTCACAAGGAAGTGAAAGGTATGAGGTATTAGGAAGATGAGCACAGTCTTAGATAAAATATCTCTGCATTATTTTTATCTTCTGCATCTTATACTTTTTCGTCATAGAGTTTCATACTGTCATACAAAGAAAATCTCACACATGTCACTTGTGTCTCATGACAGGAACAGAGAAATTTGATTATTGACCCAATTCATCTGGCAGAGATGCTTTTCACACAAAGGCACAGTGTGTATCAATTTTTCTAACTCAGGTCTAGAGAATCTCTCAGAACTTCAGTCTCCTTTATTTTTTCTTTCAGTGAAGAGGACAGCAGAATAATGTCAATCATTTAGAAATTTCAGACTGATTATTCCATGCAAGAATGGTGATATGTACTCATTTTCTTGTCTGTCTTTATGTGGTTTTGTTGGATACTTCTGCAGTTAATGACTCTTGGAATCAAAAGCAACAAAGAATAGAACTTTGATTATTTGCAAAGTTTTGTTTTGTACATGAGACTCTCCTTAAATTCAAAATGAAAGAAAATCTTTCTGCTTTATATTAGCCCAGTCTAGGAGAAGATGGAACTTATGCACAGGAAATATAGTAAAATACAGATTTTTTTGTGGAGGGGGAAGTTTTATATTCAGGAAATGCAAGATGACCCTTCTTACTCTGCGAACATTATCTACCTAATACTCATCTGGACTACTTAGACTACCTTGGGGCTCCATTTTCCTGTATTTTTCTTCCAAGCATATATACCACTAAACATGAAAATCAAAT